GCGATACAGATGGATAAGATTAACCAGCAGAAGCAATATTTGCATATGTCAGGTAAGTTGGACGTATAGATACGAAAAATATGGGAAAAACAGATTTAAATGTTTATGAGGATGTAGTTAATTCTGAATAACTGATAAGGTAAAAAAATCCTCTCAATAATTTCAGGAAACAACAATTGCAGAATCATCGTATGAAGAATGCTTTATTTGAAGTTTTATGTGAAATTAAAGAAAAAACGGGTATATTTTTTCAAGATCTTTTTCGAATGTTTTATCATTTTGAAAAATGATGAAAATGAAAAAACTTGTTAACATCATGAAGAGAACAGCCATTATTTTCTGGATTGCAGCACTTTCCATCCGAGGAGGTCAAGATGAGGCACCAGAAGATCCACAACTTATGCGATTAGATAACATGCTGGTTAGTTTTATAACTACAAACGGTAATGTGTTGAATTCTGGCAGCGACAGTGTCACTATACATTTGTTTTACCAGTAAAATTCTTTTGCATCTTTATACACTTTAGCATGTTTTTTAGGTTGCCGAGGGTGTGGCTGGTCCGGACAATCGTGGGCCAATTCAGAATGATACCAGTGGTGGTGATCAAGCTGATTATCGGCAAAAACTTACTCAGATAAGACTGGTATATAGTGAAGAGTTAAGGAAGTATGAAGAGGTCAATTTCTCATTTTTGATTTTTTTAAAGACCGATTTACTTCAAAGTTTCATATCAAATCAAATAGGAGGTTCGAGTGAATCTGGTAAAGGAATCTGGTAATTTTCGAGTGAATCTGGTAAAAGGATCATTCATTTTTGGCCTGCAGAAAATAATGATTTTACAGGCTTGTCAAGAATTTACTCAACATGTTGTATCGTTGCTACGTGAACAAAGTCGAACTCGACCAATTGCAAACAAAGAAATCGAACGAATGGTTGCCATTATACAAAAGAAATTTTCCGGCATACAGGTAACTAGTAAATAAAACTCATTTCAAAACTATAGTGCTTTAGTCAGGTTGAGAAAATTTGGATGTAAACTTTGACTGAAAATTTTTAGCTTCGAATTTATTGAAGTAAAAAGCGAATGACTTCGACTGATAGTACCGACCTATTACTAAAATTAGTGAATTCTAATGAAATAATTAATCTAATTTCGTTCCAACATTTCTGGCTTATATTTCATTCCACTTATTTTTGAGGTACAACTGAAGCAATCAACTTGTGAAGCAGTAATGATTCTTCGTTCACGTTTCCTTGATGCCAGGTTATTTTTACCAGAATCAGTTACAACTGATGGGAACATTCTATGCCGCTTTTTAATGCTAAACTTGTGCTTTTCTGTTATTCATATGAATTTTATCTTTAAAATTATAGGAGAAAGCGGCGAAACTTCAGCAAACAGGCTACGGAAGTACTGAACGAATATTTCTACTCTCACTTAAGCAATCCTTACCCATCAGAAGAAGCAAAGGAAGAGTTGGCACGCCAGTGTCAGATTACAGTTTCGCAGGTTTTTTCTTAACTTAATCTTCTTTTTTCTTCCATTTTTTCATACTGCTATTCGATTGAAAAACTGTTGGAGTGGTTGATTTACGTAATAAAAGTATATATTTCCAACCACTGCATAACGATCACGAATGTATTGAAAAACTTACTATGTTTACCTTCAAGCAAATTTGTTAAACGGTGCTGGCTTGTTAAACTGTGCACCATCCACTCCACTGACAACCAAATTTGGAAGATAATGTACAACATTATGATAGTGCTTAATTTAGGTATCGAATTGGTTTGGCAATAAAAGAATACGCTACAAAAAAATATAGCAAAAGCTCAAGAGGAAGCCAACATGTATGCCGCTAAAAAAGCTGCGCATGGTGAATCTCAATTTTCTATTTATCCCATCTATCGAAGAAGATTTCTTAAAGATGATTGATTCTTTTGTAATTTAACAAAAACGCATATCTGTTGAGTTTCTTGGATTCAAATCACATACAATCAAAGTATTAACTAAATTAATAACTCTCTTCTCGCTTAAACAATACGTCTTAAGTCAGATGAGGGTTCAATTAGCGTTTAAAGAAAGACATATTTTTGGAGCGCCTGAATGTCAGTAGTTGCAGAAATCAGAAGTTAATCAGAAACTAGGTGACACTCGTTTTCAAATTAAAATTGAAATTTGCGATCACTAGATTTTACAGCTGCAAATCAATATGGTATGTTGGCAGCGGGAACATCAGCAGCCGGGACTATGCTCAATTATCCAGCAATGCTTCCAGGACAAGATCTGGCACATCACATGACTGCTGGTCTTGATTTCACTGCCGGTTATAATCCTCAGTTGGTAGGTGTTATTCATCCCATGGCTCGGAATGATCCGTTGAACGAACTCTAGCATTAGCTAATGCTTTCTGTTATTTCGCTTATGCGGCTTATGCTTAACTAATTAATTGCTTAAAGCTCCTGAAACTCTCTTTCTGTTTTAAATGAATGTAAATCGCAAACTGTTCATGAAAAGGATTAAAGAACGATGATCAGAGGAGTCTTTTCCATTATTGCATTGGCTTGCTAAGAACTAATACTGGATTCATTTATAAATGATCGTGTTTTGCTGATTCGAACATTGACTGATTAGAAATTATTAGCTGTACTGTGTGCTGTGGGTTGTCCTGATTTATGCCTTTATACTTAACTAGGTGATGATGCTTTCACAGGCATAAGGGTTTTCATATTGGCAGACTATCGAATTTATGGTACCATCGCAATTTGGCTTTGAGCCTTTTGTGAATGGTTTCTTATTTGTAGATATCATTTTATTTGGGTAGACTAACTTACATAAGTTTACATATAGACAAGGTAGTACTTGCATTCACCTTTCACATTTAGATCTAATTCAGATTAGCTGTAAATTGCATGAACATGCTGTTACGGATTCCCGATTCCCATGAACTATAATTTTTATGGTATTTTTCTTATTCCGTTGACTAAAAAACTTACCTTTTGCATTTTCAGCTTCGTATTGATCATATTCAAACAAGATTTCTTCCATAATTAATACTTCCTTATTTAAACTCTTTGTAATTTCCAGATGTCCACAGCTTACGGAATTCCTCCACCAACCAATCCATCACCGCAGTCTTAACGTAATGCTTACTAACTTCTTTTGTTGTTGTTGTTACGATGTCATAACGCTTGCTATATTTGTGTTCTGATCATTAGAAAAGTTATATTTGTTTTACCCTGACTAATAGATGCATTTACCGAAATTGCGCTTCAAGGGTTCATTACATGCACCGTGTGCAATAGACATGTGGTGTACAGTTGTGCAATTTTTAATCATGTGCCGTGATGTAACTGTTATATAAGATGATCCGAGTAAAATTACGGTACTCATCAGACTAATTTCATTTAAGAATAAAAAAATACTCGGAATTACTAAATATTCGGAATTATTATATATTTTTATGTATACATTTTTTACTGTGCACTGTTACGTTTGGCCTATCTTTTGAAGTAACCACCTTTTCAGTTTACTTTCTCTTCTTCAAATTAAAACCAAATGAAATTCAATAGATTAGGTTGGTGACGAAAAACAAACATATATGAGAATTTGCATTGGTTGTGGAAATTCCATCTATCCAGTGAAAAAAGTTTTTGTTGGTATCGAAGAACAAAATACGACCAGTAATCTATGTTTAAGATACTATTCTTTCACAGCTGTAGGACACTATGTTATAGAGGTTTTATTAAATAGATGAGCATTAACTTTATTCATAAACAGTTAATGTTAAAAAAAAGTGAATTTTTGGTAAATACTGGCAATGTTTTGGAAAGAATAAGCTAATTGCTCCAACGATTATCGTAAACTGCGAGGAATTAAATATGGACGTTGAGACTGCAAATTTGCAAACTTGGAACAATCATTCTCAAAAATCATTTAATTTTCGTTTTTCACAGACGCTACCCACAGTAAGCGGTGAACCACCAATGAAGAAGTCAAAAAATGAATAGTGGACGAACCAACCAATTGTGTACCTCAATACGCATTTAAGACAGAACTTTTATTTCTGAGGAATATTTTCTTGTGATATTCGTTAATTTCGAATGGTTTTCTCACTTTGTGTAGTATTTTCTTTAACCATTATGCTTTCTTTAAGGCAACAAATTAAAATTGTTGTCAAATTTAGAAGATATCATAAATTTATTTCACGACAACTAATCATGTTTTATCTAACAGTATGTGCCAAAAAATTGATACTTTGCATTTTTCATAATAGTGCAAGAAATGAATAACAACACTTACTTCGCAATTAACTTTATTTTTGTCGCAGAAAATTGGTAACTTGTATTCTATTTCAGTTTTCGATCTCATTTTTAAAATTATAAATTTAGCAGTATTCAAGAATGGAACTTATTTCATCTCATGTTGTTCTTTTGTAAAGATAGAAAAAGCATTACAAAATAGGAAATTTCATTTGTTTCAATGCTCTGTGGTATGGAAAACTTGGTACTGTATATGATTTATTATCGTGAATATTGTTCTTCAGTAAGTTCTCTTGACCGAATATCATTTGCATTTGGTTTAACCAGAATTTTCCGCAATATTTCCTACCAATTTCTAAAATCTTTTTTAAACATTTATGCGTGTTTCCTTTGTTTAAAAATGTATAAACCACCGAGGTCAGTAAATTTTTTGATTTTTTGGATTGGAAAGTTAATGTCACATATTATTCCCAACAATGGTGAGAACGATTGGTAATAATTAGCAATTGTTCAACTGATAATTGCTAAAACGTAACTATTAACGAGTAGTTATAGATATGAAAGAAATATATGTAGGGAATAGATACACAATACAATACTTGAACTCTTGATTGATTTTTTCATCCACCAAATCATTTGTCAGGACCTGACATTCATTTAATTGCGGACTTTCCCTTATTATCAAACTTATATTATCTGTGGCATTGGGTTGCAAGATTTATTCAAATAGTGTTATGGTATGGCATGGAATGATGATTTTAAACACTGGCCCAGTCAGTGTGACGTAAGAACAGTGGTTTGTCACAAAGGAAGATACTTGGTTTCAACTAAATGGCCAGCTCAAATTTCGGTTGTACCTGGTGCGGATAGTTTTAGTGTGGCATGGTGGCTCACGTGAAGTGTACATACGTGTTTGGCATATGTGAGATTATCTAAGTTAATAGTAGTTCTAGTCAAAACAGCAAATGTGTTAGATTATTTAAGTTAGCAGTGGTTCTAGTGAAAACAGGAAATGTGTTAGACACGTCTTTTTGTCTTTCTTACTTATCATATGCTAAGGAAGTTTTCTAATTAAAGTTTTTTTTTCTTTGATGAAAAGTAGACTTCCAACAAATTGAACAAATTGGACAATTTTGACTTTTTTCACTTGTTTACTCGAAAATATAACATTGATCTTGAGTGGATCCAAATAACAAACATAACTGATAAATTGCGGAAGGAAATTTGTTGGTTGGTAATATGTGTTTCTGTTTTTTTATCTTCTAAGGTTGTTCCCTGGTATTTTGAAATTTGCATCCCACAAATAAATTCGGAAAATTATTTATGCATGTGATTGATCATGTCCAGTTCTCCAATCGCGAAAGCAGTTGGATTTCATTTTGCCCACAAATAATTACCTGAAAAAGTTTTAACATTGCTAATGACCGAGGAAAAAACGATGAGAAATATCGTATCTCCATTTCTAGTTTCAACCTTAGATAAAGTTAAGAGCATAATCTATTTCTAATTTTGCTTTATTTTATTTTTCGCCTTTTTCGTTTAGCTTGTCTTCTCGTTTCATCTGTACAGTAAAAGGTCTCACTACTTCCTTAGATCATAAATCAGAACCAGAGAAATGGCTATCATGTTTGGACCTAAAACAGTGTAAGCAGACGGTGCAGATAAGTTCAAACTGCATAAAAATTATACAGTGATGAATGGGAAAGCAAACTTTTTGACGTCAATAATAATGACGAGGAAGTTGATAAATGGGCAATTTACTGATGGCTTTGAAATTTAAACAGTTGTTTTAGTCTGAAGTATTCGCAGTTCACTTTAACCTGGGCTGTGATATGGCCATTTAATCCTTTATCTTACTCTACTTTATTAACAAATGTTATCAAACCTTATCAGATACTGACAGTGTGTCAAATATTAACACTGTACATCAGTTATTGTCAGTGTACATGCAAATGACCACTAACAGTAAATAGTTCATAAATTAAACAAACTAAAACGAGCTACTGAGACCAGGTTTCATATCAGTAATTAGATGGCATACAAGGAACACTGAAAGCATTTGAGCCTCCATATCGGTGTAATGTTCATTGTTCATTTTACTATTAGTTACTGCTTACTTCAGGATTTCTGAAATGAAATTCTAACCAGCAGCAATCAAATAGACATGCAATATAACAAGCGATGCCGAAGAGACACAGCAATGAATAGAAGACGACATGTACCATCATCAAATGATTCATTTGGTATCACATTGAATTTTGGATTGAAAACCTGACAGGAACTGATTAGGACTAATTTTGGTGGCAATAAAAGGATGATAAATACGTTAAGTTTTCTACATCGATAACATATAATATTTGGATTTTCCCACAGAACAGATTATTTTACCAAAATACTCTTTTATGTAGTATTCGAAGTGCTTGTTCTACAAGTTGATTTGTAAGTGACATTTAAAATATCGCAACAGATGACCTTGCATATTGCCCGAACGGTTGTAAATCATTTCATCTTGGTATTACTATTAATATGAGCGAGATTCTAAATCGTGTGTACATTTTTATTACTCTTTTCTTTCCTGGAAATCTTTACGTGAATGAAACTATTAAAAGTCTTCGCGATAATTTATTACGATTAAAATGTTGGGAATATTTCAGAAAAAGTGTAAATTATATATTGGTCTTGTATACAATTTGTTATCTGATATACCTGGAATATTTATTGATTGAAGCTTTCGACTTTACCACTTTTTTCTCCTGATGTTAGGAAATATGTTAGAAATGTATTAGAATTGCATATCAAAATGAATAACCAATTTGATTTTAAGTTGTTACGGAAGCTATTTCGAATGCTGAACAGTTGAGAAAGAGAAGAAAAAGAAATCGGAATAATGCTATGCGAAGGTTACCTTTATAATCCTTCAAAATTGATATGAATCCTTATCATTTTGCTGTTTTTTTCTCACTTTTTCATTCATATTTTATCTGATAAGTGTTCATATCTCTCATACATTTCGTGGTACTATGTCCTGCATTTTTTAATAGCATACGTAATAATGGATAGATAAGAAAATTGATTTTAGTCGTTTCAAAAATTTATGAATTTATAAGCACCGCGTATTCACTAGTATGTTAATAATGTCTTTGTTCTAATAAATTAGCGATCACAAAAACGGAAAAAGATTAAAATGATCCTTTATTCTTCAGTTTATTTACAGTAATCGTGGTATGAACGAGGTTGATCATTCAACCAATGAACAGCAATTGTCTCACGGCAATGCTACTGTCGAGGAAAGTGATATACCAGGATTCGCATATGATAGTGTAACTAAACGCTATTACAGACTGCAACCGCAAGCTAGTGGTCCCGTGAGCTTTCTTATTTTTACGCTTCTCATTTTTATGCTTGGGTATTATATATGTGTGTGCCGGATGTTGTTTCTTATTTTTAAAAACGTTTTGCAATTATTCAAACTTTATTTTAGAATATTGGATTCCGTGAAAGCGATTTAAGAGACATTCGACAACACAATTCATTTATCGCTAGACGTGACCGATGCTGTACCAAATCTTGTCCATCTGTGTCATGGCTGCCAAAACTGATACAACGGCGAGAATTGCATGGTAGCAATATATCACGATTTACACGTTTAGTTGCTGAAGGAGCACTGCGTGGCGTCCGAAGAGAGCCCAGCTACGTTTATACGGTCAGTTTTATTATTTCTCGTTCAGGCATCAATGTTACATGATGAAACGAATTATATGTTGTTAAATGTTGTAAAAGATAAGCTGAAGAATAAATATAATAGGAAAGGATAGGTGACATGTTTCAATAAGTAGTGAAGCTAATCCATAGAATTTTATCCAAGAAAAAGTTGGCTCCGAATTATTCATAATTCTGTCAATTGATATTGATGACAGTTGTTTCATGCAATGAACTGGATTGCTATATTGGTTTGGAGTGCTCACGTATTTTTAATGTGGGTGTGTTAAAAGATGTTTCGTACTTTCACGGATTTTGATTCTAGAACTGAACTCTTGTAACTACCAATATGGCACACATGCGTTTTGATGAGACAGATGCACTAATGCACATAATAATTTGCGTAACTAGAACTGCTAAATTGAAAGAATGCCAATGACAGTTCGTATTCAGGGATGTACAGACATTGAGACATTGCATTCTTGTCATTATGTGGACATTAGTGATGATGGGACAACTATCGTTGGATGTTGGTCAGTGAGACGCAGGCGGGATGAAGGATGGAGGGATACATGTGGTGCACGACTTATTTGTTTCAAAGTTACAGCTGGTTGTTATGATAAGACGTATTTTTTACTTCCCCTTTTTTCTTCAACTGTTTCGTCGCATTTCGTCGTGGAAAATATAGCATATTCTGTGCATATTATTAATATTACCGTAAGAACGGTTGGCGGTACAGAATGTTAGCATTAAGATTATTAAAAACTCAACAACATTAATCGTAAGAAATTATTTGAGACAAAATATAAGCCTCTCCAAATATTTCAAATTTGCTTCAAATAAAACGATTCATTTACAACCATTTCACCATGTGAGACAAACAGAATCATTCTAGTATTACTAATCTTGTTTAGAATATTAACATATTTGCTGTGCAGTATCCGGATCAGATGTTTTAGGTAATTCAGTTGAAAACATTTCAAATTTGTTTGTAGAGAAAGCGAGTGTTGGAATAAGTTTGGGTTAAAAATTGGGAGCAGTACATATGGTGCGAATCTGGTAAAGTCAAATTTAATGGATATGTGTGTCGAACCGATAAACGACAATATCACATGCGCATTATACATTACGACACAGACCATTGTTACTATGCATAATCGATTTTCAACTTTAAGTCGAGTTTGCGTCGAACCAATAGCTGAGTTTTCTTCGGTTCACGTAAGTTATAAGATTGGTTCTAGCTAAAAATTCATATTTGCATTCAAAAGCTTACATTAATGTGTAATTGGATACCAAAACACGATAACTGTGTGAACCAGAAAATTATTTTATGCCTAGCAGCGCATTTCATCGTGTTGTAAAGGTGTAGTTATATTCTAGGATCCAACCGAATTACATCTGCCCTCGTATAACATGAGATGGACATGCCAGAAGTATGTGCGTGCAATAGCTTTCAGTAGAAATCGAATGGCAATTGGAATTGGTTAGTTTGATAGCATTCCAGGCTTTTTTTCTAATGCAAATTGAGATGCGTGAAGAATTTTAGCTCGGGCTTAAGATTCAATCTTGGAATAACTCAGGCTTAAGATTCAATCTTGGAATAAATCATAAATCATGCTTTTTTTTTTCAGTCTTAGAATAAATCATCTAGTAGGGACAGTAAATATTTAAAGTTACTACATAGTATGGAAACGTTTTTCGAATGAGATATATAGTATGTTAGTATGTTATATAGTTATAGTATGTTATTTTCTTCCATAGTTTCAAACTCCATATCAGACAAAGTCAGTTGAAATATTCAAGAATAAAAACCAAAAAATGGTTTAACATAGTTTCTCTCTTGAACTATTGTTAGAACTGTGATTCAAATGCCAACTGTTATGTTTTGAAAAATGATATATTTAAATTTAAGACTGTCGTTTTCAAATTTGTATAGGTCGTTTCAGAGTAGTTGCAAGTTTCTCTGCATACTATGAAAAATGAAACAGCCAGACGGGACGAATGGAAAGAAAAGTGGATCTTATACAAATTAAGTCAGAGTAGCAAAAATCCACTGTTAGTGAAATGCATATTATGACTTGGTAATTCAAATAAATCTATATTATCTGCAGGTTTAGAAGAAAATGCTTTGTTGTTGAACATTTCATTGGAGCAAACTACTCGTATCAACAGTTCGGAAAGAGGTGTAATGAGTCTAGCTTTTAATGCGGTATGCTTCAGCAATCATTTTTGTATGTTCGCTTTGTAGTCAGGTCCTCACAGAGTGTACCTATTTATTTGTAATTAATGTTTTCACGAAATGGTATCAGCTAGTACTTGATTGATATACTGGATTTTGTTTCACACTTCCTTTAATATATGTTTCCTTTTTGTTAGCACTTCTTTGACTTCAAAATTTTTGTTTTTTGTGTTCACAGCAGCAGTAAATTAAGATGTGAAATGATGTATCCACCACAAAAAAGTGGGATTTATATGAATAATAAGGTAAGACGTTGAAAATAGAACTTGTAGTGTTGGGTGGATAAAAATCAAGCGAAGGAAATTTTGGAACGCATTGTGCTCTGATTTGATTTATTTTCTTATTTTAATGTTTTTATTTTGGATAAGAAAACATTATGATAATGCCGCTGAATTTTCCCCTTTTTAGAATGGATATACGTTGTTCCGTTGTTCTTCGTTTAGAAATGGAGCCAGACAGATTTGGGTTTAAATTCTATGATAAGTCATTCTTAAAAATTATTTAAAAGTTTCAGGATGGGAATTTATTGTTTATGGGTGTAATGGGTGATGATGTAATTTGCTCAGATTTACGAATGAGTAATCGACCTATTGTTGCCACCTACGATGATACGAAAAGTGTGAGTTGGCTGAAAACGTTACGAACAAAGCCTGATGTATTTGTTACCGAAGATCATGTTGGAGTTGTGAGTATTTTTGGATCCCTGAATGTTGGACATTTTTCACTCTGTTAAAATAAGTGAAACGAAATTGAATCTTTTATTTTTCTATCCTGTGATTTGATGTTCCAACGAATATAAGAGCAGAAGCATTTGGAAACAATGAATAGACTTCCATGCATGTTGTATGCTCAATTAGAGAATGTCCCATCTTTTTCATGAAATCCTTTTTTATATGTACTTTCTTAAGCGTAAATCTTTTTCAAAGGTGTTGATTTCAGATAAAATTTTGGGATATTCGGATGTGTAAGCCTCTGTTCAGGATCGATGACAATATAAATCCTTATAATAAGACACCGATGCATCTCGAGAAGGATGAAAGGATTCTCTTCTCGGGTTATTTTTTCTAAGTTTACATTTTAAAAGTGATTTCATTTTAAAAATGTGTTTTACATTTCTTAAAGAATTAATAAACTATATCGACTATCGTTTAATAATAAAATGTTATGGTTTCTGCTTATTTCCCTCAAGAGTCTACTTTATCTACATTGATTTACGGAATCCATTATAGGCGAAACATCTCTCAAGAAAAAATTAATGCGAGATTTATGTATTTCTTTCGCCTTTTCTTGAAAATTAATCTTGTCCTGATTTTTGACAGGAGTGATCTTGAAAATTAATTCAATGCAATTTTTGCAGTTTTTTTTTGTCTTCATAGATGTTTAAAAAGTAGTGCCAAACTTGTGTCGAATTGCCGATTATGTAAAAATTTGAGTCATGAAGAATCTCATTGTAGCTACCTCAGACGGAATTACACGAGCTTGGTCAACTTATAATGGAGAGAAGTTATGTGAGTTTCCGAGTCATGACCCAAGGAATTCATCGCGGAAGCCGAGACTTGCTTATGCATCCAATTTGGGTGGTTTCTCCGGTAATGCTGCTATTCTCGTAGCTACTGGAAGTGACCTTCATGTTCACGAATTGGTGTTATGATAATCTTATGCCGTTACTGTAAATGTTGTAAATATGTGATGTGCTTATTTTCCAATCGCAGTTCGAAAGCTCTAATTTTTCGTTGTGTTTAGAAATTATTCTTTGCGACCGATACTTTATTAATAATTGCTATGAGATATTTTCGAGTGTTACTAATATTATTACGTGTCAGAAGACAAAAGTCTTTCGTTACATAGCTACTAATTTTACAGTTGTGATCACCAAACATTGATTGATTATAGTTTATCAGAAAGAGATAAAGACATTGATTATAGTTTATCAGATAGAGATAAAGACAGTAACTCTTATCTTGCTTAATTGAACTTTTTAAGCAGTTTAGGTATTTACCACAAAAGTTTACTTTCATAGTTTACTTGCCTTTATTACATCTAAGAAATTCTCCAACATAACTAATAAATATATTCATCCTGTCGTAGTCTTTAGTGGAATGCCATACTTGCTTGTGGAAGATAGCATGTTAGCATTGTAACAAATCTTCTTGACATCTTGAACGGTAATTTTGTCTGATTCCAAAACATACTAGAAATCGCGTACATTTTATTGGGAATGAGAAGAGCTGGCAGACGATTAAAGAAAAAGAAAAAAAAAATTCACTTTTAATGCTCAAAATATTGGCGATTTTTTATAGGTCTCAGGAACCTGATCTTAAGTATCACTTATGCAATTTATTCAGTTCATTTCCTCACATATTTTCTACGTTGTTGACTTTCCATGTTTCATTCTGTATCTTGATAAATCAAAGTATCAGAGCATGGTTGCATTTCTACAGGTTTCTCGTACTTCAAAGCTTTGTTTCCACATCTCCAATCATATTTCGTATGTTTATCCTTATTACCCTTAACGATACGATAATGCCTGCGATGATGTATTTCAGTAGTCTGTCGCAGCGGTAAAGCGTATCAGAAAGGTAATCGGGGAATACATCTAAGTATGCATGCTCATTTTCAGAGTGAAGTTTTCACATAATTTCTTTAACTTTTGGTCATATTGATTCATTCTTAGTATAGATGTATGCTTTTTGGATCATCTGTCATAGTCATCAAAGTGCTGGAATGAAGAACAATTCAATTTAGACCTTTTTTTTGTGGTGAAAGAAGAGGTGATTTGAGAGATGAAGCGGTGTTGGCGTCAAATAAAGATTGAAGGCTGTGAAATCATGATGAATATTCTTTTCTCATAGCTAATCTTCAGCGGAACTTTTTGCAATATGTTGGCTATGAAAAATAAGTTGAAGAAAGGAAAAGTATTCAGTTAAAATATAGGAATAATCATATTATATTAAAAGGGAAGAGATTTAAAAAAGAAGACATAAGTAATTAAATTACAATAAAGTTATGTTTTTTACCACTGAAGGTGAACTTTTTTCTTAGACATATATTTTAATTATTTATTCTGTTAACGGAAAAATTTTGCAAAAATCTCATTTTACAATAAATAAACATAGATGATGTTTGTAAGTTTGATAAGGAATTTACAAAATTTTTGAAAATTTTACAAAACGAAGGGTCACTTGTAAGATGACATATTTTTATGAAAACAAAAAAGGAGGGAACTATTGATGATTTGAAATAGAGGGAGAAAGGGATGATTGATGATGACAATTCATCTTTCAATACATTATTGATTCATTTATTGCAGCACTTGTTGTTGCATTATGATGTTTTGTGAATTCTGTTTAGTAATATTTGTCTTACATTCATCACAATCATTATTGTTATTTGAACGTGAAAATTTCATTGGATTACGTGATCGTACAATAATCGATAATGAAAAGAACAGCTATACATTGCTATCCAATGACGTAATGATTACTTTTTCCTTTCTTCCTTTACAAATTATAATTTTAACAAAAAACTAACTTGAACTATTTGAGTGGAATTATTAAGAAGAAATAACTATGATTGTTTCACGTAATTACACGTGGAATGGAAATGTAAATGGGAATAAATATAATAATAAAGTAATATATGAATTGTTTCATATAACTTCAGATATTAATAAATATGATAATTGGATGGTGATGTAAATTTCATGTGAGGAAAGTTTGCGATAATTTCATGTAATTTCAGGTAGACAACAAATGTGATAA